ATAGATGTGTGTCTTGCTTCTATATCAGCAGGCTCACTCTTTACCCCACACACTCACAATTCAACAATACTACGGACAGTGGAAGGAACTATGCCTACTGGCATTGAAGCTGGAGTTTGGCAGGAAACCAGAGGAAAGAGAGGGACAAGCACCTGCTGCTTCTTTTTCTAACATGAATCCCTTCTATGAATTTTAGCTATTTTCAAAATAGGGCATACTCTACATATCTTGGAAAACCTTAATTTTTTCCTCTGACTTTTCAAGATTAACAAAAAAGAAATGTTTTAAGGCATAAATTACTGATAATTTGATTTTTCACTAATGAGAGAAACAGTAATGGCACAGGTTATTTTACATTCTCCGTTTTATTGTTGAAGAACACAATCAGAAATGTATTTCCATGCACAAAGTGACCTCCCTTCTGTGTTCAACCCAGTGTCATTTCTGCATGAACCTAGGGGGACAATCTTGGAACAGGCAATTGAAAATTGGATGCTTGCCATGTTTTTCCAATCAGCTATCCCTCACTATTTTCCAGTGAGTCTTCATTTTCCTAAAAGCTATTTTGGTTAGTGGAAACCTTCATCAAGGTCACCATGAAATAAAGATCATTTGATTTAGGGATAGAAGAAAATCAGGCATCCGAGCTGATTCTCAACTTACCCTGAGAGTCAGGACAAAACTCTGGAATCACTGTCCCCGCCCTTAACACCATAGCAGAAACGGCTATCCATTCATCTTCCTTGCAAATTTATTATGAGGATCATACTAAATGTGAGACATCTGAACATTTAAACCTTAAACTATATGTATGATAGGTGGCTTGTTATCTTGCATGCAAAAATTTAAATAGGATTGAGAAAATGTTGGAATTATGAATAAATCCCCAATAACAACAAAAAATAATTCACAGGTTACTATAAAGACTCACGAAAAGCATGGGACTTGTTGCAGACTGATTTCCTCAGACCAGAAAAAATAAAATTACATTTAATAAAATAACCCAGGTGGCTAAGTAGATTTCAATTATTCTTGTATATAAAATACTCCTTGCCAAAACTCAAATAAACCACTGCTGCCCACTAAGTAGGCTGCCACACAAGATCCTATTTCTTTCTTTTTTTTCCTGATTAGAGAAAACTATGTAAGTTGTAGATCTTTATAAAGTTCAGGAAAATGAAGCCTAAAAGTTTTCGATTCTCTATACAGAAATCCTTCCTCGTGCCTAAGTTCAGTACCTGCTCCATTACTGCCAAGCCTTAACTTGCAGAACAATCAGCAGTGTGATTAGTGAGCTGCTCCACACAGATATTATTTGAAGGTACTATTCAGTGAGTATTTTTGTTATTAACAACAATTTGAAATGCCTGGTCTATTCATTTGCTGGGTACTAAAAATGTAGATTAAATAAACATTATTAGCCAGTTATGCCACATCCAGTAACTGTACTAAAAATCTAGATTAAATAAATAATGTATAAGTTATCTTTGAATCAATTCTCCTTAAATTCTTATGTGTATTTTTTCCAAGGGTGTATTTGAACGACATTGTGAGGATAAGGGAAGTATCTGGATCATAGTAATTACCAGATTCGTATAGCAAGCAATCTAGTCTAAAAGAGGACAGGGCTTTGCAGAAACAAAGAGAAGACGTTTCACTCCCAGCAACAACACTTGTTAACTGTGTAATTTTGGGCTCATTACTTAACTTCATGGAATCTCTCTGTTAAAAACATTGGATAATAATTTCTACTTTGTAGGTCTTGAGAATGAGATAAAGTTACAAGCCTCAATTATAAATGTATAGGGAACAAAGTCAATAAACTGTAGCAAAACAATCATAATTTCTGGGATTAGTATGATCATAAAATGCCAAGTGGAATTTCCTAAGTAGGTGGATCTATTGAATCAGTGTGTGAAAGTTCAAATACAGCTACCATTCATTCAACATTATTAGCTTTGTGCCCCACAGTAGGCAAGGTATGTATGAAGTGTTACAAATAAACCAGGGACCCACACTGACAAGTTATCTGATCTTATGAGGCTTACAGGCTCTAGGAATATAGACAAATGGACAACTGCAGAAATTTAATGATACCTGTAATTATGTAGTTGAGGTTTTGGTCTAGCAAGGGAGGAAATGATAAGAAGAGAGGCCAGATAGTTCTGAAACACAGTGTGCCGAGCAAAAATAACGTAGGGAGAATAAAAGTCTGAATTAAAAAATCAAACGTGGAGCAGTTGTGGGACTGACCAAGCCCGGAGTGGTCGGGGGCGCACACATGAGATGGGGTGCCGCACTGGTCCAGGCAGGCAGGGTGATGCAAACACCACGGAGCTTCTGATGAACAGGGTATGGGGGTCCTTCTCCCATCCGAGCCAAAGCCTGAATTCATTTCATGTTGAAGTTCGTTCATGAGTAAGTGTATATGTTTGTGTGTTTATGGATACATAGTGACCATATGTGGAAAATAAGAGTAATAATAAAATAATAATAATAAAGCATTTAAGATTTTAGTTTAAGTATTTATGTTCCAGCTACCATTCAAAGTACTCTACATATTAAACTAGCCTTCATGGTGAATAGGAAATCGATGCTGCTGTCCCAGTGAGTAGGGGTCTACAAACTGACGTAGGGAGGAAGTTCAGAAGTGGGGCTTCTAACCCAGGCGGTCTGGCTCCAGCCGTCCTCTGAGGCTGACCCCATCCTGCCTCTCAGCGATGCCTGACTTCCACTGCGCGCTCCCGATGCCCGGGCTCCGCTAAGCGCCTTGCACGGGTGGGTGTACACTGGACCCGACAGCGCGCACCACGGCTGGTTCATTCAGACAGATGCTGCACGCTGCTCTTGTTACTTGCTCTCTACTTTTTCACATGGCAAATATTTTTATGAGAAATTTCACAGGAAATTCCACATGGTTTCTCTTCATTAAATAAATTATCGGCCCCCACGAGCCCCACCCCCAACTTGCTGACATCACCACGCACTGCATCCAGTCCAAGGGCCGTGGCCTCGCCCACATACCGTGGACCTCGCCACCCTGCTGCCTGCATCCGACTTAAGTTTAAAAGCACCGTCTGCTCACGGGATGTCTGAACATGTGACCCTTAGTGTTAACACATCTGTGCAGTAAAAAATGGGGAGACTGAGACCTTAAAAATGTAGCTCCCAGAGTCTGGTTCAAACCTCCAGTCTATCACTCCGAGGCTCTTGTTTTCTTAATCTCTTCAAGCTTTGTGTTTCTCTAATCTGAAATAGAGTAACTAATAGTACTTAACTCAGAGTGTTATGAAATAATTAAATGAAATAATTTTTGAAAAGAATGAAGCTTGCAGTTCAATAATAATTTGTTATTGCTGTTTCTATTAAGAACAATTCAAAGTTGGTATAAATAGTTCACATCCAGCCTCTGCCTCCATCAGGACTAGAGTAGAGGTCTGAAAAATAGGAGAGGCTGTGTACTGCACTGGAAAAGACTAGTGGCAAGGAGAGAATCAGATGAAAGATAACCTGTGGGACCTTAGGAGAGCATGTTTCCCAGACAGAAGTGCAGTCCAGTGCCACCCCCAGAATAAAGCTCCATTCCAGTGGGTCAGAACAAAGCTGGGCATCACCCTCGGGCCTGTCTCCCTAAAAGGATTTGCCTGTGTGGCTGCAATGCTTTATCATAGTGAAGCACTGAACTGGATTTCTGAGTAACTCCGTTTCCTCCAGGCTGGGGGTAAGGACCCATGATTTGTCCTTTACTCGGAGCATCCTGCTAGTTCCTTCACACCCCTTCTGCTCAGCCACCACCCTAAACTAGGCCCTCAGTTCCTCACTGACAAGCCATATGAACAGCTTAGTAATTAGCCTCTGCCTTCAATCTGTCACCAACTTCCATCCCAATGACGAACTGTTACAGCACCACTACAGTTCTACCGCATCATGTGGTACCTCACCTTTGTTTTTAACATTTTGCCTTGGCTGTCCCTTGTCTGCAGAAGGAAATCTAAAAGCTTTAGCTGCCACCGAGGGCTGCTGAGGTAAGGGGGGGTGTGTCTCTCCTGCAGCCCCGGATCACCCCAAGAGCTCCTTGTCCTTATGCCTCCTCAGCTGTGCCCTCCCCACATGCTCAAAAGAGTGTGACCAGCATGCCCTTCACGCCTCTATTCACATTCACAGCCACATCGAATTTAGCCAAATCCTACACAGCTACCACATTGGGGACATGACCTAGTTGTGTTTCTGGTTTATATCAGGGGTTGGCAAGCCTTTTCTCTAATGGGCCAGAGAGTAAAGATGTCAGGTGCTCGAGGGCCACCCTGTCGGCACTGTAGTTGCTGTTGCCCAGAAGCAGCATAGACAACATGCATAAAAATGGGTGGGGCTGCATTCTCATGAGACTATTAGGGACATGGAACCCAAACTTCATATAATATTCATGGGTCTTGTGGTATCATTCTTCTGATGTTTTTCAATCACTTAAAAATGTAAAAAAACATTAGGACATGGACTGCACAAAAACAAGCCAAGGCCACAGCAGACAGACGGTAGTTTGCCAAGCCCTGTTTCACATGCACACTGTTCCTTGAGCCACAACTTTCTTTTTCACCATTTTTTATTGAGGTATGACCTCCACTGAGCAACCTGAAGTTCACTGATCTTAAATAAACTGTCCAGTGGATTTTGACGTGCATATGCAACCATGCTATCATCCAACAGATGGAGATACAAAACATTTCCAGTTCTTAGAAGACTCCCTCCTGGCCGCTTCTGAAAGACACCCCTACTAAAGCCTTTTTTGGTTATCAAAGCAATCTCTACACTTCCTTTCATTAATCACCGACTAAAGAAATGGGGTCAATGGCCCTGTACTGCCTACATTTTTACCGAGTAGCATATTTTTAAATGAAACTTCAGATATCATTAACTATTACAACTACATAGAAGAAAAATGTCTTTTACTTTCAGTGACGGTGGCATCTGATCAGAAACCCCAAAAGGAAATATGCACTCACTTCTCTGGGCAGTCTCTGCCGATGCTGCCTTTCCTTACCTGGGCCAAGGTGAGTGTTGCTTGCTGGCAGGTGCTACACTGCACCCTGAGTTTTCCTGGCTGCACACTTTGACAGGGGCCTTTGCAATAAACATAAAAGCTGTTGTAGGTTGGTCTGCCTGCTGGGGGAAAAGAAAAAAGCAGAAGTAGCCAATCAATGCAGAATCCAAATTGAAACACATTTTAAAACCAACTCCTCAGGAGCAGTTTGAAACATTAGTGGGATAAATATTCCAACCAGGATAGAACAATTTAGTTTAGAAAATCTAGTTTTATGCTCAAAAGAGTGAAAATCTGAAAATCTTTTCACCCCTTGCCAACAGCCCTGTGACTTACTCAGCAAAGTAAGCAAACTGCTACCAGGTAGGCTGGCCAAGGGAATTTGCAACACAGGCAAGTTAAATGCACTCGTTGCTGCTGAAGTTTTTTAAAAGGATGGGAAATGCAGAGACTATTTGAAGTTTAGAGACCACTGCTCCTGAATTCTATTTCATGCTTCTGCACACAGTTCTGAAGGCTCCAGATTTTTCTTCCTAAGATTTTATCTACAGGGACATACCATCCCATTCATGGGGATATGAATGATATGACCACAGTTTGCTGGGTTTCCTGTGAAGACTTTCCAACACACAATCACATGTAAAGTAAGACAAGAGCCCTGAGGGGCTGCACAGAGCCAGCAGCCATGTGCAAAATGGGTGCCTGCCCCTTTGATAATGTTCTCTACCTTGACAGATGCCATTCAAATGACACGTTTTCAAGAGTGAAGCTGGACAAAAAAAAAAAATTCCAATTCAGTAATTGAACATCTCTGATCATTTATCTCAAATGTCATCATACAGGGGTACTATGTTCTATAAATTACCAGAATCTTTCAGAATAGTTTCACACTTTCATTTCTGCAAAATGCTAACAATTCAGAAGTGCTTACCAGTAAAATACCACCTTCTGAATTGTTTAAATTTACTAAGTCATTCTTTTAATCCTTACCTTACTTCCTGCTGAGTGGGGGGTTACATGGCATAAGATTTTGTTTAAAATTTTACTCTTGTCTAGAAATAGTAAATGGTAATCACTTTTTGATCATTCTGAGAGAAAACCTTCAGCCTCCCACATGTATATGGTTTATTAAAAATAATTAGTACAAAAATGATAAGAAAACAAAAAGAGATCCTAAGGTCTTATGCAGCCCCATTTGCTATTCTAATTTACAGAAAGAGCCTCTGTCAACATACTGAATTGCCATTTGTTTAGCCATCTTTACTAATATTGTAAGTGACAGTACTTTAAAATTTAAAGCATAATAAAGATGCCAAAATATATAATTTTATCATTTATTGGCAATATATTTTATAATTATTGCTCCCCACAGAGTAATATTTGACTTCCAGTAAGAAGATAAAATATGAATATGTGTTTGTATTGAAAAGAAACTATGGTTTACTGACATATATGTTACTGTAGCTTTAGTACCTTAATGTGCAAGATATTTGAGTCTATGAATATCACATTGTTATTAGGAAATATAATAATTATATAAAATATAGTCTTAAGGTTTTATGTATATCACAATTGCAACAGATGGAATCATATATTAAAGTTATAGAAGTACCATTAGTTATTAGCTGCCAGAATATCAGAAGATCACAAGAACTGTGACAACTTTAATGTGTTCTAGGAAGAGCTTAGTGAAGGAGGAAGAATCCCTTATCGTTAAAACCTTGATCAGTAATAGGAACAAATATAATAATCACAATTTTTATAACCTACTGTAAAGGTTAAACCTAGAGAAACTGGAAAGGCAGAAGAAAAGGAATGGGAAAAAGAAAAGCGTACAAAGGGGAGCCAGGGTCAAAAGACTGGCGTTGTTGAAAGAGCATTTTAGCACCAGCTTTATAATCGTAAACGAAGCGTCTCAGAAGCTGCAGGAAACTAAATGACTCTTCTCTCTCCCTTAGGGCAATAGCAACATTTGCAATATTGTTTCAGCTAATGATATAGCCAGGCAGAATCTGAAGATGGGGCAACCCTTCCACCTCTGTGTGCTACAACCTTCCTCAAGTCCTTGAGAAGTTAGTCAGAAAATACTGCATGCCATCGTCTGTGCCCTAGACGCATACAAGATGACGTGCAATCTATTACACTGTGCTTCCCAGAGCCAGCTGCACGCTGGGGATTAATAGCCAGTGGAAGGAAGACCAAGGTCAGGCTCGTCCTAGCTGTGGCCGATCTCCAGTTGTTGGCTGTACTTGGTCAAGCAGCTGGGGTTCCGGTATATCCAGAGATACCGTTTTCCGGATGGCTTCCCTGGCAATTTGTCTACTTAATACGATTTAAAATTGGCAAGCTTCTCAGTGTCACGCTGAGGTCTGGAGTGCACAGGAGAGGAATAAGGACGAAAAACACCCTAGTGTTTTTCTGGGCAATGTTCCCACTGGCATGGCTGAAGGTCTAAGGTGCAGATTCTTGAAAATGGCTCCGTAACTCCTCAAGGGAAGGCACGGCAATGTGAGGGGTGACCCAGAAAACTTTTCTCTAGACATCTGTCTCCAGTCAAAAACATACATCTTCCTTTTCACTTCTATTTGTATTCTCAAAATCTTTCCTAATCGGCTCTTCCATATGGCAACCCCTTCGCTGTCCCAAATGATCAAAGCAGCTTGTGTTTGTGTTCATAGATGCCCCTCTTTTTATATAATAGCTTTCCAAACCTAGAGAAATATTTCAAAATTCTTACAAATGATTCCCCTCACTGTAATTCGCACATCCCTCGCCACATCATGCACCCCTTCCATGTGTACGCGTGTATGTGCAGGAGTGTACGTATGCAGCTGTTTCTTGCACATACATACTTTTTTTGACTAAATCATGTGTGATTAAGTTTCAGGCATCATGCTGCCCAGCCCTAAACTGTTCAACAGCCTAAAAATAAGGACTTTTTCATATGAAACCATCAAGCTTTTTTAGTGATTTGGTTGTTTCGGCTGTTCTATTCATAGGTTCATCAAGTGTATTTTAAGTACACCTTAAAGAACACAACAGTGGCATGAAACTGTTCAAGTGTCAAGTCCACAGTTAGGGTTTTCTTTAGTTGAAGCATTTTGGTGGCTGGGTTAAGCTGAGGTGAGCAAGCCCTCTCACTGCAGGAGGTGACAGTGCTCTGCGACTGTAAGAGGGAATTCGCGGAGCGTAGCAGGTCCCAAACTTTATCCGACCTCAAAAGCCTTCCTCTAGCGGAACATTTTGGGAAACTATTTCTCAGGAAAAAAAACTTTGGAAAAAAAAATTGGAGGAAAGATTCAATTCACCATGTAGTGCTGGACCGACAGCAAACCAGGCTTAGAGTGTTTATGAGCTTGGCTTTGCACACACCTGGGAAGAGCCTGCTGACAATTAAGCTCATCCCTCCACCCCCAGCCATTAATCAACTTTTACATTATTTCATCATAAGCCAGAAGGGTTATCCTACTAATGCAATTGTTTTACAAAGTATATTTCTTTCATGAAGAAGTTCATGCTTTTTGTTTGTTAGTTTTGTTTTGTTTTGAGTTTGTTTTCTGGACAGACATTGGAAGCACAGTGTTCAAAGCCCTTTTAAAATGTGAGTCACTGTGTCCTTTCAAAGCATCCAAAGGGTTTCCTTAGCATTTTATAATCTTCTCATTATCTTTATTTTTTTCTCCTACTTTGTCTGATTAACACAATCCTTAGTCAGTCTCCTTTTTCCCACTATTGTCTTTTTGGTCAAAAAAATTGTCAAAAGCATTAACAATATTTACAACATATCTAGTAACACCTTTTAAAATGAATATATATTATTTGCTTTGGCTTTTTGGGAAACCAGCATAATGTGCACAGTTTCCATTTTTCTTGTATGTATTTTAGATAATGAGCTTATGTCCCCAAGATGATATTTTAATAAGACAAATGAATACTTAGGAAAACTCATCCTGATTCTGCTGAAAACTGTTCATTGACCTCAGAAGTTTTCATCATTTGTTGTCACTGAGAATCAAGAGTTTAATTGCTTGGATAATTTGTTAACTAGGGGAGGAGAAAGTGAGGTTTAACATATCTGGACCTGGGTATGATAATTTCAGTATCAACAAATTACAGGAACATATTCTATAGAGCAGGAACACAATTGATTATATTATACATAGGAAGAACACAATTGACTTGAAATTGCATTGATCATATATAAGCATATTAAAATATAAAGTACAACAAATCACCCAAGAAACTTTCTATGGCCACAGAAATGTTCTACATCTGCACTCTCCCATCCAGTAGCCACTAGGCACATGTGCTTAGTGAGGATTTGAAACATAGGGAAGAACTAGTGAGGATCTACTCTTTTCATTTATGTTTTTGTTTTTAATTTTAAGCAACTTAAATTTTCACAGTTGTGTGTGGGTAGCAGCTACTAAACTGGACGGTACAAAGGAGGAGAATAAGTAACACTGATGCTCCTGGTCCCCTGTGTCCCTCCCTCATCAGGCATACAGGTGACAACAGTAAGGAGAGTCTTCCTCACACTGAGAATCAGTGACCTGATGCCAAGCATGCTCATGTGAGAGGAATGCTGGCAGGGGAGGAAGAGAAAGCGAAGTTCTGAGCTAGAGGCGTTTCCTGGGAAGCAGGACAGAGGGTGTGGGGACCTGGGAACTCTGTAGCAGCAGAGACGGAAGAGGATATGTCCCCCATTCCTCCCTCCCACATGTCCCTATGCCCTGCATCAAGCGGAATGAGTCTGATGTGTGGCTGCACAGTGATCAACCCATCTGCACTGCCATCATCGTTTTTGACATCTGACCCACACAGCCAAAGTACAGTTGGTTGGCACAGCCTTTAAGTCTTCCTTTGATTTCCCCATAGGGATGATACCACCCTAAAGAATTCCATTTAAGAAGAAGAATGTATTCAGGCCAGTTTTGTCACTTTTCAACACTTGATTTATCCTAATATCATGCAACCAGCATCTCATAAGGCGGAGTCTCGGAAGGTGAGGGAAGCATCCTTCACAGTCTTCTTCTACCTCCTCCCACATCATCCTTCCTGGAACTTCACCTCCTTCTGATGACGGCCTTGTTCTTGTTTCTTAAATACCAAGGATAATGCC